GAATGGACGAGAGGCCGTCTGATGCACGCTGTATCCACGAGCGCTGCCCATACTGCCCCGCGTCGATGGCGGACAGACGCTTGAGGGCCCCTAGATCGTAGTTGCGCTCGTCTGCGATGTGGGACCACACGGTGCCGACGGTGGCCTGCTTGAGGTGGGGGAATGCGACGGGCTCCTCGTTGTCCGGCAGGTCGATCTTCTTGAACTGGCCGGTCTTGTCGCGCATCATGCGCTCGACGGTCAGGCGCATGTGGCGATCGGTCACCTGGCGGCGGTTGTGCTGCAGCCCCAGTGCCTCCTTCTCAGTGGACACCGAACCCTGCAGCACGACGCTCTCGACGGTGGGTGCCAGGCTCTCGAGCAGATACAGCAGCGACGGGGTGGGGCGGTGGTTGATGAGCAGATGCTTGCAGAACGAACGACCTGCACACATCACAACACAACACAAGACAACACATCTGGTGTGTGCCCATTCCCGTCTGTTCTTTCATCGCCCCGTTGCTTACGCGTCCACTTCTTGGCGGTGTCCACGGATGGCGATACGGATATGTCGAGGATGGGGTGGACGGCCCTCTGGCGGCTGAGGGCCTTGAAGTATGTGCTGGCGACGGAGAGGGACGTCATGAAGGCCTGGAAGCCCAGGTAGGCACCCAGCCCCATGCCGTCCTCAGTCGTCATCCACACGGCGTCAGGCAGGTCCTCAATCGACAACTCAACCTATGGACAAGGACACAGACACCGTGGCCGTGGGCAGCTGGCTACCTCTCTGCCACTTCCCCAGGTGGCTTACCTCCTCATTTAGTTTGTTGATTTTGTCCTGCAGCAGGTCGATTTTGTCCACAGCGTGCTCGGTCTGTTGCTTGGCGGTCTTGTCGATGTGGTTGGCCTGCTGCTCGGCGGCCTTCTGCACCATACTCGACCACACGCGGTAGTGGCGATTGATCTCCTGCCATGGGAAGCAGCACACGGGTGAGGGCGTGTGTGTGTGTGTGTGTGTAGGTTTGTGCATTTGCTGGTCACCTCCATTCTGTTCTGTGTGATGTCTGAGTCGGGTTCGAGGGCCATCT